CTATGGAAACCTCGGATGGAAGATTTCCTTAGCTGTAAAGACCTTTTTTATCCAATAGAGATGAAAGGTATTAATCCTGACCCGGCTAAGTCAACGGAGTGGAAGAAAATTAAAAGAAAAACTATTGGTCAAATCTGACAATGGATTGACCATAGTGTCTTCCACCATGTTGCACAAAAAATCGATGCTTATGCCCTTTGGAAGAAGTTAGAAGATATGTACCAGACCAAGACCGCAAGGAACGAGGCCCTACTGATGAGGCGCCTTGTCAATATGAAGCTCAAAAGTGGAACTTCTATTGCCGAACATACTAGTCAATTTCAGAATCTGGTAAATCAACTATCTTGTGTAGAAATTCCACTTGGAGATGAAATGCAATCTCTACTACTTCTTAGTTCCCTTCATGATAGTTGGGAGACACTAGTTGTTACTCTCAGCAACTCAGCCCCAGATGGCAAACTTACCATGTCTGTGGTCAAGGATGCACTGTTCAATGAGGAGGCAAGAAGGAAAGACATGAGCACAGATGAGACTCATGCCCTTGTGACAGAGAATAGAGGAAGATCACAAGGAAAACAACAAAGAAACAGTCGAGGGAAATGGCAAAGCAGAGGCAAAAGTCGGGGGAGATCATCAGATGGCCGAAAACCTTCTTATACCTGCCACCATTGCGGTATAGAGGGTCACATGAAGAAGAATTGCTACAAATTGCTAGAGGAGCGAGGCAAGAGCAATTCTCAAGCGAAGAACAAGGGTGGTGAAGCGCTCATCACAATCTCAGGTGATGTGGCGTATTGTACTATGAATGATGAAACATGCCTTCACGTCTCAAGAGAGGACACTGAATGAGTGGTAGATACTGCAGCATCCTACCATGTTACTCCCCACAGGTACTACTTCACAACTTACAAAGCTGGAGACTTTGGAGCAGTGAAGATGGGCAATTCCAGTTCCTCTGGAATAGCTGTAATTGGTGATGTACAAATAAAGACGAGTACTGGGAGCACAATCACTTTCAGGGATGTCAGACATGTTCCAGACCTTCGACTCAATCTCCTGTCAGTGGTATGTCTTGACGAACAGGGGTATGAAAACCACTTTAACAGGGGCACCTGGAAAATGTCAAAGGGCGTTTTGACAATTGCTCGAGGACATGTTTGTGGCACATTGTACAAAACCCATTTGAGGATTTGTATGGATAGCCTCAATATTGCTGAGGAGACTTCTCAGAATCTGTGGCACCTGAGGCTTGGCCACATCGGTGAGAAAGGGTTGACTACCTTGATAAAGAAGAACCTTATCAACATCGACAAGAACGCTGCACTGGGTCCTTGCAGTCATTGTCTGTTTGGTAAGAAACATAGAGTATCATTTAGTTCTACTTCAACTAAAAGATCAGAGTTGTTAAGTTTGGTACACTCCGATGTTTGTGGTCCTTTCGAGGTGGAATCAATCGGTGGAAGCAGATATTTTCTGACTTTTATCGATGATGCTTCTCGGAAAGTGTGGGTGTATTTCCTGATTACGAAGGATCAGGTGTTCGAGAGCTTCAAGACATTTCACGTCTTGGTGGAACGTGAAACAGGAAAGAAGCTGAAATGTATCTGATATGATAATGGAGGCGAGTACGCATCCAAAGCGTTCGATGCATATTGCAAAGAATATGGCATTCGACATGAGAAGTCAGTACCACGCACCCCTCAGCACAACGGCGTTGCTGAAAGAATGAACCGGACTATCATGGAGCGTGTCCGGAGCATGCTGAATATGGCTAAACTTCCGAAGTCATTCTGGGGAGAAGCAATCAACACCGCATGCTATCTTATCAACTGATCACCTTCAGTACCACTGAACTTTGAAGTTCCAGAAAGGCTATGGACAGGTAAGGATCCTACATACTCACATCTTAGAGTATTTGGTTGTTCATCGTATGCACATGTATCCAAAGAGCTCAGGCAAAAGCTCGATGCAAGAACTATCCCATGCATTTTCGTTGGCTATGGAAATGAAGAGTTCGGATACAAGTTATGGGATCTCAAGGAGAAAAAGGTGTTCAGAAGTCGGGACGTTGTGTTCCATGAAGATTTGACAATAGAAGACATTGAGAAACCCACAATGTCTCGGAAGTCAAATGATGGTGCTAGAGTTTCAAATGAAGCACCAGAAGAAGACAATGTGCAGGAAGATAACTCAGAAGCAGAAGAAGACGAGGAGACAGAAGATAGTGCAGAGCAAGGGGAGACACAATAATCCACCCCGCCAGACACAGATGATGGTAGCTCTTCTCAGATGGTTCCTACTGTTCGTAGATCTGAACGAGGGCATATACCATCAAGAAGGTACACATCATCTGAATATCTTTTGTTAACTGAAGATGGAGAACCAGAGAGTTTTCAAGAAGCTGTATCTCATAAGGATAAAGAAAAATGGCTAATAGCAATGCAGGATGAGTTAGAATCTCTGTAGAAAAATCAAACTTATGAGATTGTAGAACTTCCTAAAGGGAAGAAGGCACTGAGGAACAAATGGGTGTTCAAGCTGAAGAAGGATGCAAGCGGACAAGTGGTGAAACACAAAGTTCGGTTGGTTGTCAAAGGGTTCCGACAGAAGAAAGGAATTGACTTTAATGAGATCTTTGCACCAGTTGTCAAGATGACCTCAATCCGGGTTATACTTGGCTTGGCAGCAAGTATGAACTTGGAGCTTGAACAGATGGATGTGAAGACAACATTTCTTCACGGTGATTTGAAAGAAGAAATCTACATGCAGCAGCCGGAAGGTTTTGAGAACTCAAATGATAATTTTGTGTGTAAATTATCTAAGAGTTTGTATGGCTTGAAGCAGGCACCAAGGCAGTGGAATAAGAAGTTTGACTCATGCATGAAGAAAGAGTCAAGGCTACAAGAAGACTATTGCGGATGAGTGTGTATACATCAAGAAACTTCCAGACGGTACTTTCATTGCTCTTCTACTATATGTAGACGACATGTTGATCGTTGGGAAAGATGCAGTGAAGATAAACCAGCTGAAGAAAGAACTCTCTAAGTCTTTTGATATGAAAGACTTAGGACCGGCTCAACAGATTCTTGGGATGCAGATCACTCGAGACAGGAAGAATCGCAAGTTATGGCTATCTCAGGAGAAGTACATTGAACGAGTACTTGAGAGATTCAACATGAATGATGCCAAACCAGTAAGTGTTCCACTTGCGAATCACTTCAAGTTGAGCAAAAGAACATGCCCTACATCCAAGGAAGAGATTGGGGAGATGTCAGCAGTTCCATATTCTTCAGCAGTTGGAAGTTTGATGTACGCCATGGTATGCACAAGACCAGACATCGCACAAGCAGTGGGTACAGTGAGTCGTTTTCTCTCTAACCCCGGGAAGGAGCATTGGGATGCAGTCAAATGAATTCTCAGGTACTTGAAAGGTACCACGAAGTTATGTCTTTGTTACGGAGGAGCTGATCCAGTCTTGGAAGGCTACACAGATGCTGATATGGCCGGAGACACTGATAGTAGAAAGTCTACTTCAGGATATATCTACACTTTTGCAGGGGGAGCCGTTTCTTGGCAATCAAGATTGCAGAAGTGTGTCGCTTTATCTACAACAGAAGCAGAATACATTGTTGCCGCTGAAGCAGGTAAGAAAATGTTGTGGCTAAAGCATTTTCTCCAAGAACTTGGGATCCAGCAGAAAGAGTACAAGGTACATTGTGACAGTCAGAGTGCTCTAGACTTGAGCAAGAACTCTATGTACCATTCTCGTACAAAGCATATTGACATTCGGTATCACTGGATACGGGAGACGATTGATCAATAACTGTTGAGACTAGTGAAGATCAATACAAAGGAGAATCCATCAGACATGCTGACAAAGGTGGTGACACGAGATAAGCTAGAGCTGTGTAGAGACATAGTCGGGATGCTTGTTTTGAATATGCCTGGAAGGGGAGAATTGAAGAATTCAATTTCCAGGACATATCCAAGTACAAGCAAATTGAAGAATCCAATTGCAACAACCATGAAGCTTCCTCCATGTGCAAGCAACAACCATGAAGCTTCCTCCATGTGCAAGAATGACAAAGGGAGCTTCCTCAACCACCATTGAAGTTTCCTCATGTTTAGTCCCACTTTCCTTCCACCTTCCTAGTACCTAGTTTTGGTGCTATAAATAGAGAGCTTGGAGAGTCTTTCTATTATCAAGTAAATTAGAATAGATCATCATAGCACAACCAAGTTTGAGTTGTGAATATCCTTGAGAGATATGTGAGGTGTTTTTGAGAATTTTTAGTTAGAGCTTGTATGTCTCTTCTTTCTATTTTTGAAAGTAATAGAAGTGTTTTTCTCTCATATTAGCACGATCCTGTTATTCCCAACACTAGAGCCTCGCTTCAACATATGTAAACAGAAGACCAAACAAAAGAACAACTGAGCAATGCTAATCGGAATTTATACACCCATTTATTTTTCAATTCCCTTCTCCCTTTTGGCATCTCCACCAATTCATAGATGTAATTATCATGCAAGACATGCATATCTTCTTGCATGATCTTCTTTAATTATGAATATGATTGATTGCTTCTTTGTAGCTTTGTGGCACCCCTCATTAGAATTCTATACACACTTGTGTGTGTGATGTGTACATGTTTGTGTTGAATGTGTGTGTGTACGATAGTATATGTAATTTCAAGTTGTATGTATGTGTGGTGTGTATGCGTGTATATACGTGACTAATTTTATAGAATTTATAATACTTTTAGTCCAACAAGTTTTATGACAACTATGCATTTAGTTCATATCTTTGAAATTATCTACTTTTGATACTTAATTATTGTTTTCCATTTGTGGTCCTTGTACCAAGTTATCAGAATCTCAATTGAGAATTAAGCGCCCAAAATATCGATGAAAGGAGCATAGGTGGGCAAAAAAGAATAATAATATAATGTACAAAAAGTGATCAAAGTAAAATACTTGAGTAATCGTGAAGTTGATACAACATCAGCGGGGTCAAAGGTCAAATCTGTTCATTTTTTAGATAATGTAAGAATGCATGAATTGTGAGATGAGAGGCACCAGCTTGGACATTATTTACGCATCAAATTCAACACTTGACGGTTTAAACTTTAAAGTGAACAAATGAAATGTAAAGGAGAGTATTTCATTTTCAACAAAACGTGGATAAAACAATTACAATGATGAATCCGTAGAAACCATAATGCGTTTGCACGGCAGCCAACACCGCTTTCCAAATCTGTAGCAGGGAAAATACATTCTTGATGCATTCAATCCAGACAGAGGTTGTTACAGGTCGGGACACTCAACTTATTACTATTTGCCACTGAGTTTGGGTCCTGTGCTTGGCTAGAATCAAAGCAACCTGACCCTCGGGATTGTACAAACCCGCAAGCAAAGGAGCTTGGGAGTCATACAACCTTCATACCAGTCAGCGGTGCTGATCGATGGCTTCCAAGCACCAATAAAAGATACAACAACCAGAGTTAGACAAAATTTATTTATAAATTTTATGGCTGCTGATAATGAGAGAAAAACTACAAAGTTTACACTCTTTTTTTCCGGAATGGCTGAAATTTTGAAATTAATAAAAAAAAGTCACTTCAGCCTTCCTTTCTTTTGTTTAATCAAATTCATCCAATGCAGCTATTTCAATCACAACTGCAGAAGACTAACTACTTCTTCATCCATTTCAGGTCTTGCCAAACAGGCACCAAGTCCTCCCTATCTGATCATAAGAAGCATTATACATTTAGGTATGTGTTTTGAAAATGATTGTGGAGCATGTGGATGTTAGCAAGGCCATTTTGATGAACAATTACGCTAGTGGCAGGGAACGATATGGATTTGACAGAAATGACTTTAAGTGAGAGAGGATGTGCGAGCTACTCCACTCACATTCTTTAAAAGGGAGATTTTTGGGTTCGCTGAACCTTTTTTCTGAGTCTTTCATGTCCATAGCCTTACTCTTAGAAGAATGGAAAGGGGGTAAACCAATCAAACGAGAAATACTAGGAGTACAGAATAATGACAAAGACCTTATTTTATATAAACCAATTTTAATAATCATAACCACAATAGGGATGGTTAAGAAGGCGTACCATTTGGAAACAATCTCTCTTTTCAAGTTTGCCTGGGATCTCTTTTGAAGTCACCCACCATAATGCATACCTTTTGTAATATAAATTTTTCCCAATGAGATTGTTTGTTCTAAGTTGTTGAGATCTTAGCTTGCAGTAGCTAGAAGAAGAATGGACTCAAAACAACCAACAAAAATGTGTGCTCTACACTGTTTCTATTTTATGTTGTTCTGTGCTGGTAGTGCCTATGGAGGAATTAGTACTGGTCTTCATCTTGTCATTCCCCGAATGTTTGTTTGAACTGTTCAGTTTCGAATTATCGTTTCCCGCTTCCTTTTCAGCTTTCTTCCTTTCAAATTCAAGTTGCTTGCAGTTTTCCTCGTGAGCTTTTTTAAACATCCTCACGAAATTGAGCAGAGTTGATACCACTATACACAAACACACATTCACTCAGGTTTAAATGGAATGCAGTGGAATATCATGCACATATACATAGAGTGATTTCTTTTTAGCTATAGAGATCTTAGGAACAGATACACATTAGCGTAGTATTTGACCCCCCGCCCCACCCCAACCATGAATGTGCATACCCATTCCTCACTGTCAGAACTTTCAGCTAGAATGTCCAGTGTCCTAGGTTGCATACTGTGCCCTAATGTCATGGCAGAGTCTGGGAGGTGTCAGGTGGGAATTCTAAAGCATGAAACGGGGGGAATATGCCAAGTCCTTTTTTTGTGTTTGGTTTTACTACTGTATATGCAAAGGAAAATGATATAACTTTTTATTACTCTTTTTTTAAGATACCTTGTTCAAATGGGCAACGGGTAGGATCTTCTCCAAAATAGTTGGCCAAAGCATCAGCATTTCTTCCCTAAAAGATACAGATGAGATTTAGTGTTCATTATCCAACACCCAAAGGCAACAACAAGAAAAGAAAGGAATAAACTATTCTGATAGAATAAAATAAAACCACTAATGTATAGTCATTACCACTACGGAATACAATGTAGCCAGAGATCTCACTTCCCCTTCAGCATAGCCAAGAAATTTCTTCAATGTCTGAGATATTTTAGAGCAAGGTAAGTGGAGGAAATGAATCTTTAGTAGGTATACACATATAGCAATTTTTTAATACCCCAAAAAATTGTATTAAGACCAGGGGTATCATTCTAAAAGCTCAACAGGAGGGGGGTAGTACATGTTACTCCCTCCATCCTGTAGAAGGTTCCCACTTTCCTTTTTTGAACGTCCCGTTAGAAGGTTCCCATTTCCATTTTAGGAAACAATTAACAATCTTAAGTGACAAATTAGTCATTAAATATTAAAAATAATACATTTATAACATCACAGTTATCAATACTAAAACATTATAATATATACCTATTAAAATTATTTCTCAAAATATACCCGAAGTACTTTATTTAATTATCACCTAAATAACCGTGCCGTTTTGCTATGGGAACCTTCTAGCGGGACGGAGGTAGTATATATTACGTTATTACCTTAACACCCCTCAAAATTAGACACACCGTCTAAATGATGTCATTATTCATTAGTGTTTTATCAGTTTTGTTGCCGATTATTCGATAGTTAGTTATAATCATCATCATTTTTTTATTTCCATAAGGCGGCTATGGATCGAGTTTGCTTTGATACAATGTTAAAACCTGAGGTCGTATACTAAAAGGTTAACTTGACATGAGGAGTAGACTAAGATCTTATATATTGATTTGTATCGGAAGCCTTAATACTTGGCATGTGTAGGATACTGGGATGACTTAACAATTTGTAAACTCAAAGGGAACTCTTTATTTTATAAGCTCTGAGATGATAAGAAAATATGTACCAGAAAACTCATTAGTCCATTCTGCTTATTTTAGCCATATTTAGATTTTAAAATATGACATTCTGTCACTTTCCTAAATAAACTTTTTTTCCTGTGTAATAGGTAACAGAAATATGTAGGGGGCTAATCTAGCCCCATCCCACTCCATGTTAGGTCAATAACATTTTTTTTTCTGTAAACGTTTTCTACAATAAACGTACATGACAACCAAGTATAGAACAATAAAGAGCATAACAACGCATACAGTGCAGAAACTCTCGGACACAAGGCCATCACTTTCTGATGCAGTGAGTTCCTGTTGTATTTTCTCCACCCCCTTGCTGATAGCTTGCATTTCCTCTGCCAAATATTTTAGTTGTATCTGCATATTTAAAAATCAGTTGACCACATATTTATATGCACAGCCATGGAGACTGTTAAATTCGAAATTGGAATGTCCAAAAAGAACGGCAGCACACCTTCGTTGCAGCCTCTAAGCTCACAAGGTCATTATGAAAATCCAATACTTCGGGTAGCTTATGAGCAAGAACCTACAGAGACACTTTTCAATGTGAATAAGAGTAACAGAGAATATAAAAAGAATGACTCCTTTGGGGGGTGGGCAGGGGCGGATCTAGTAATATAATTCTGAAATAGTACGTTGGCAGTATCTATTGTGGACTTGAACTTAAAATGGGTGCCGAATTGATCAAAATGTATGACATATCAAAAACAATATGAAAAGGCTCAAAAATTCAAAACTCTAACTCATTAAAAATATCATGAAATGCATTTTACCTTACACAGATAGTGCATTAGAGTCATTTTGTTGTTACGAGCACGTGTATCAGTCAGCTTTAGAAGACTATCCAACCGAAATCCAACAGCAGAACCTAAAGAGTAAAATACAGATCTTTAAAGAGGTGTAACATGATTAATATCTGAAATAGTTGTAGAAGAAATTGATGAACACACACTGCGGAATTAAAAAATCCTTATTATGGATGTAGAATTTTTTAAATCTGCTACTTCTGTTTTTAAATTGGGAAAAAGAACAAGTATGCTCTTGAAATACATGTCAAAGAACAAATATACCCTTCAACTTTTTTAAAACAAATGAATATAAATTGTAAAGTCGGAACAAATATATTTCCGTACTATATAGTACAACATTATACCCCTTATGGTCAACAGTTTAGGGTTATATATGTTTTCTAATATATAGTTCAAGGGTATATTTATTCCAACTTTATAAGTTGTGAGTAGTGGTTCCAAAAGAAAGTTAAGGGGTAAATTTGTGCTGTCATATGTAGTTTAAGATTTGTTCCATATCCCTTTTTAAATACTAATTTTACAATACATTTTGCATGCACGTGATGGATATTACTCCGTCCCAAAATTAAGTTCTCACTTTGACATTTATGGTCTTCAATGTCAATCTTCTATCACTATTATTTACAATTTAATAGACACAAAATCTAGAATGCATTATTGTTTCAATAATGTAAATTGAAACAAATTGTTCAATTGTAATTTCATGTTATTGAGAATTTAATTTTTTAATAGTGAACGATCTAAGTTGACAACCTTTGACTCCATAAATCAAAGTAAGAGCTCCAAAGGGAGAATATTGTACATACCCCTTGCAGTCCCATGATTCAAAGCATTACCCAATGAAAGAATTGTCTGCATAATTCTTTTCAGCTTGACAGAATTCCTGACCTGAAAAAAAAATTAAGTTTAGGAATACATGGGACTGTATGAAGTTGATATAAGAGAAGTAATGGGAAACCATAGGGTGTAAGATCCTGCCTCTTCAGCTGTAGAGTTCACAGTATTTAAATTTTTTCTTAAATCAGAAACCTGAAGAAAATTAAATATTGAAAATCAGCAAAGTATAATGTCCATGCTACAAGAAAAAAGACTACATAACAAGAAACTGCTTCTTCTGACCTGAGAACAGAATTGGATTTTAAATGAAAAGACCCTGAGCTTAGATTCTACCCTGGGAACCTTCATCAGCTCTAAGAAAAACTGTCAAACATTACAAAAATTATGTTAATTATACTTGATAAAGCAGCATAATTGAGATTATTAAGATAGCCTTTGATTATAGGTGTGTAGGTTTATCTTTTCTACTTAATGTTCGGAATATTATTTCATTAATTTACTATTCCTCTATGTACAGATTTAGGATGTTTTTACTTGGACAATAATTCGTCCCAAACCAGACCAGATCAGACCAGAACAGACCAGACTTGGATAGTTATAAAAATACAAAGAGACCAGACATTACCAGACCAGACAAGCAAATTACAGTCCAAGTAAAAACATCCTTATACCGTCAACCTCTACATATTAACTAATATCACCAAATGGCTTAAACATAATTAATTCCACTCCATATTAAAATATTAACTTGTCTTTATGTTCTTATATTAGTCTACAATATAATACATATATTATTATATAAAGAGATCATTCTAATAATCAGTTATCATCTACTAGCATTAAGTTGCCATATGAACAACTTACCTGCTCACATTTTCCAAGTTTATCCTTTTCTCCCTTGTAATTCTGCAAATAAAAATGCACATAAAGAGAGGCGGATGATAAAATGTGCCATACAATTAAGCTATGCTGCAAACAAGGGAGAAAATGAAAAATCAACTCAGACAGTTTAGCGCACCTTAAGAAGTTCCATTTCATCCTTTGTTGGACAAAATTTGATAAGATTATCAACCTGATCTGTATCCAATGCTGAGTCGTCTAGAGCAAGAATGGAACTCTAATGACAAAAAGGCCATAGCATGAGAGCAGTAATCAGCATTTAGTCATGTATTTTTACATTCATAAAAACAGTGTTTTAAAGCATAAAATGATTAATATAGTGCGAGAAAAAACTGAAGGTATGTATAGATAAAGAAAGGCTGCTAGTACTGTGTGTGTAACTGTATGTATATGTGTATATATGCATACATGTGTATATATGTAACGGTGAATAATGAGTAAAGGTTCAGCAAGCTGACCATTAAATCTGACAAAGGAATCTTAACTTTCGTGAGCATAATCTCACAATTATATGCCCTTCGGAGGTCAATCTGCAAATTGAAGGGTAAAAAAACATATCGTTTATATTTTAATGAGAATTAACTACTACAAAATACAATTGTTCTCATTCCAAACAACTTCGATTTTGTTTCTAATAGTCCCTACAGGAAAATTTCTGCCCTTCACAGAGCAGATATACAGTAAGTCTTCATATATTTTAGCATGAATAATTGTTATGAAGTAGTAGTCAATCCATGTAGTTTTCGACGCAATTTTCATCATGGATCATCCGGAAACAGTCTCTCTGTGCTTTAGTACAAGGGTAAGACTGTGTACATCTGACCCCCTTACTCCACCATAGGTGGGAGCCTTTGCGGCATTGGGGTAATGTTGTTGTTGTTGTAATTGTACCTCAACAAAATTCTTTGGTGGTAACTGATGCAATTAATTTTTCTGTATGAGTGACGTGTTCATAATTATATGCACCATTAAATGCGTAGGTCCAAGAACCAAACTCTGGAGCTGGAATTGCATATCAATATATTTTATGTTCTTTTTTATTTCACAAAACGGACCTGGAAAACTGTTTCTAAAAACTCCTGTTTCTAACATCAGTTAATTTTCTTGATACTATTTCAAAATAGTTACTAATGGAAAAGTGAATTATTTTTTGATTACTAACTAGTTGCACTTTATCAGATTTGGATCCCGCGGCACGACGGCTTGACTTTCCAGCACTTCCATGATCTAAATTTGTAACAGCTGCAGAGAACAGAGTCTCAAGTTCAGAGATGTCAAATTCAGGAGCTCTGGCCAGAAAGCAAATAATCAGGGCTTGATCCAAAAATGGAAAAGAAATATTCATTTAAACAAAAGAGGAAGAAGATAAGGTCAGTACTTGGAAGCTTCTTCAGGTTTCTGAGCATCAGCCCATAGGCTTCCTTGCATTGCCCTTGTTAACTTCAACCAGTGGTATGGTTTCAAGGGTGTCCTTTTGCTCTGTGTTTGATTCCTAACGCCAGTGCGTGGTTGCAGTTTCCCCTTCGCCGCTCCAATGGGAGGCGGAGGTATACTTCCACCACCACTTGCTGCAACCCCGTTAGTCCCATTCTTCAGAGGAATTGGTGGAGGTGGAACAGGTGGAGCATTTGTAGAGCACTTAGGAGGAGGGGGCGGTGGTGATGATGAAGGGAGTGGTTGAGGGCAAGGAGCAGGAGGTGGTGGTGATGGAGGATGAGCTAATCTTGGGCAAGGTGGAGGTGGTGGCGGATGAGCTAATCCTGGGCGGGGAGGTGGTGGTGGGGAGTAAGCTAATCCTGGGTGGGAAGGAGGTGCTTGTGGAGGATGAGCTAATCCTTGGCAGGGAGGAGGAGGTGGAGGTGGAGATTGTCTAGAAATGGCAGTTCGGGTGGATTCTACTAACCCCGAACTTAATGGGGGTACAGAAGGAGAGGCTGAAACAACACGGGTAGATGGTGGAGGAGGCGGGCCAGGGGGGTTTATATATGTCTCTGAAGGTTTTAATAAACTAGAAACAGATGCTAAAGTGGCATTTCTTGGGGACATTGTGACTGAGGGGTTGCTTTCTTTTATATAATTATTATTACTATTATTAAATTCAGAAGCATGATCATGCAGCAGGGCTGTAATTCCAACTGTAGATGCAGCATGGTACCTTGCAAGAGGCGAGTTCGAAGCTTGAGAGGAATTACCATTAGAGCGGCTACTGGGGACTTCATTCTGAGCTATGTCCTGAGAAGAAATGACTTCTGATTGAGCTTGAGACTTAGCATCGTCGCCTTTTTTTGTGCTTGGATCTTGTGAATAGGCCAGGGTTTGTTCATCATCAACAAAAACGGAAGACGTTGTAGTCTGGTGCTGAGGTGGAGGGGAACTTGACTTATTAGTGACTCTTTCCTGATATGGCTCAGACAGAACTACTCCCTTCTTCCCAACATCGCTAACCACACTGTCCATTCTCTTATTTTCACTACTACTCCGCTGTATGCTCATCCCTTCTATAGCATCTTGGAAAGTTCCGCTAAGTCCGGTCTTCATTTTTCTTGCTAACTGAAGAAAACTCGTTTCAAAGTCCTCTTTTGTTGCTGGTGGGGACTGGCAAATGGAACTTTTGTTTGTCAAACTTGAAGAGCAGCTTTTCATGAGTTCGCTACTCCTTCTAGTAGGCGGATGGGGAGATGATAAAGTTTCGAGCTTTTCTTGAAGAATGTTAGCTGCTCTGATTTCAAGGATGTCTAGAGCCAGGTCAGTTCTAGGATCCAACCAATCCACATTGCTGAAAATTTCTCTAACCGAGGAAAACGCCTCACTAGGAAGACCTCCTCCTCCTTTGTCTTCAATAATATGAGGTAAAGCGGTAGGTGTTACAAGGGAACAAGAAGCAGAATCCATCTCCGAGAAAAGAATCTTCACTTGAAGAAAAAGAGAGAAAAAATCAAATGCCCGGAGAAATAATGCAAAATAACACTACATAATGCCCCCTACATCCCATAGAGAGTCGTGTTTGATCAAATGTAGGGTAATCTTTCACTATTTTTTCCAAAAATAAATCATAAACAAGTTTAAATGCGACGAATTAAGTTCAACTGTCAAAAATATAAATATATATGCCCTTTTGTCTTATAATAAGGAACAATTGACCAAATTGCCTAAACCAAGGACACTAGTTAATTTTTCTTGAGTTCCTTGAAAAATATCATCATCTCATTATTTGCACATCCAAATTAGTTGGGGTAGGGAACATGAATTTAATTTATACTTATAGTCTCAATAATTTATATAAATTTAATTAACTATGAATTCATGCAAAAGCATAGGGGCAATGTTTTGCGTGAGATGCCTCATAAAGTAATACTTCTACAAAATAAACGCTGACACGGTGACACAGATTACTAGGGCAAACAATGGGAAAGAAAAAATAATGACAGTTCCACAATAAAGTCTTATAAAGAGTGTCTTGGAAAGTTTCTTCTATTAAGGGATGCAAAGAGCCTATTTTATTATTTATAGCAGTTGTGCCCAACAAAATATAAAAAGCAGTGCCTTGGTCAAACAGGACACCTGCTATGTGACAAAACTCGGTAGTAGTAAACTAGGAAGGATCGAGAGAAATACCTCTGCTCTGAAGTCCTTAGGAAATTGATCCTTCGCGTCCCAGAGAATATCAATTTCATCACGATTAAGTATCAAAATGTTTGATCTAATAAACGCAGTGTTGAAAACCGCACGGAACATCATCTCTTCACATTCAAATTCATCATCTTGTAAAGTGATACACTCAAGCACTACATCACCCTGTACGTGACAATGGATGTCGATTTTAACAAGCTCACAATCTGCCTGCAATTAAATGTCAGACATTCCATAAGGTAATAGAATGACATTTGGCATTTATACTAATGCAGTATATATTGCCAGCAAATCAGAAATATTTTATGAACAAGTGGAAAATAAAGGATTGAAGACAAAAAGTATGGGGGAAAAATACTCTAATATTACTAAAACTCATGAGTTTTCCAAGAATATGACCACTTATGTTTTTAATCTTCTGTATGACCAAATTGAAGATCACAAACAAGATTTGGCTTGATGCATATTAATGGCCTCACAGCGGTTTCCCTAATTTGCATATCAATTCTGTCTACATAGGGAGGATTTAAAACCATGCATGGCATCAATTAAGGTATTATTATACGAATAACAACTAGGTACTCATATAATGGGAAAGACATGTTGTTCTAGTATAACAACATAAAATTCTCAAAGTATAACAGAAGATTTGATTTTAAACTCCAGTATGTTGGGGTTAGTGGCATAAAATTTATATTAATTGCTTTAAATAGGACTATATGAAAACTTAATTGCACAAATAAGACTAATACCTAAATCATGAGTAGTTTTATGGAGCCCCATATGACTCCCTTATAGAGTCATATCCAAAATGCTACAGGGGTATATTTGTCCAAACATACATGATTAGTCCTATTTACGGGAATTTAAAACAAGGCAGTCCTATTTGTGATTTTTAGGCATGTTTAGTCCTATTTAGGTAATTTACTCTAAAATTTACTAAAACTATAAACTCGTGCAAAAAAAGAGGGTTTAATGCCCCTGTGATTTCAAAAATGCATCCAACCCCCTGGGGTTATAATTATTCATGCATATAACCCCTTTTGTGAACTAACAATTACTTTGCTAGTCACATTTTTGGCCATATATAAAATAAGTCACTTTTTTGGAAATAAGCTTAGATTTCATATTTTAGGAAAAAACCCTTTTTAATTATGTGTTGAGATGTTAAAATATACTAGTAAATATTAGAAATCTTGACCAAAATTGAATATTGCATCATGAATAAGCTATTATTAGTATTTCGAACATGTTTTTATTATTCATTTTAGAATAGTACTAATGATAACAATTTAGTTCAATTCATTCGGTATATAATAATTTGGTTTATCGATATTTCACCATGGCATGGTATTACTCCTATACCATATTTCAATTTTGGTACATCAAATTTTCGATGCAAGATATAATCATACCTTTACCATACCATAATGTCAGTATACAAAAGTGTGGTCTACACAAATTTTGGTTAGGTAATGGTTGTAAGCAGAAAGTTTCTGTACGGCATAAGGTGTGAGATAAAATTTCCAGTGTGCCATACCGAACAACCCCTAGGCGCAATATGAATAAAGAAAAAGGGAAGAATAAAAGCCCCTCACCTGATTATACTGTCTGACAACATTGCGTGTTTTGGGTGTAGAAAATAGAACCTTAGGTGTCCTATCAGCAGCCATGAAGGGATCTTGCCCATATATCCTAAATATAGGACGACAGCCTCCTTCCCCGTCCATATCAGGAATGTGTCTAATGATGACGCACTCTAATGTAAGTGCCCTGTCAAGGGGTGGCCATTCAGAACCCAAATTTCTTCTGGACACATATTGCAGGTATCTCAGTTGTGAAGGCAGTGGATTTAATGGTAGCATCAATTCAAGAAGCTCACGCGGTGCTTGCTTGTAAACAATATCTAATGTTTTATGTTCCCCGGTGTATTGCCTCCTGAATATCAATAGTGCGGCCAGCATGAAGGCCAAAATGGGCCACCCCCCGAACTCACAATGCAATAAAAGCACGTTTTGAGGACCAACAGATAGCCAAGTCTCACTCGACTTCAAAAAGTGATAGATCGTCTCCATTGTGTGTACGGGGCAGTTCTCAAAATGGTGGGGGTAGTTAACCACGGTCATGTTGTAGTCCTCGAGTATGGCCTCTATCTGGCTTTCATATTCCCCATCTCTAAAGTTGAAAACCATGAACGAAGCTTCGGGAAAATGGTTGCATAGGTTATGGACAATGCCACCCATGTAGAGGGCGTACTCGTCATCTTCAAGAACATCACTGGTAAAGCAGCAATCGAAGACTGTTAAGCCAAATAAACAGTAGCAAAGATCAGCACCATATGATTTAGATACATAATAATGCAGAGTATGTGTGGTAGCAGCCCGTTCTGGCGCTTATTCAGTTATTCTACTTATTAGCGGCAGCATAAGCACAATGATTATAATAAGTAGCTTTATGATCATAGTGAGTCATTGTTAACTTTAATACAATCATTGACTGCAGTTTTAGTCGCAATTACTGATGGGTGGACAGAGAATCACAAAACCAGGAAACAACCAAGGAGAGGTTTTATGCAAAGTTAAGGAGACTATAAGGAGGTACTAAATTTAATAACCACATATTGATGTGACCTTAATACAATTAATGTTATAACTACTATAAATCCATCTTAGGGGTGTTTGGAACTGATTCTGCTTCTACTTCTTTTCACGGGCAATGCACAAATTGAAAACTTCTAATAGTCATTTCACGGCAATGCACAAATTGAATTCAGACTTCAAGAAATTCAACACACAAAAAACGAAAGATAAAAAACATACCAAAAACCCTTTCAGATATCTCCAAAAGCCCTTCAGGAGGCTTCCTGTAGAAAAACTTGCGAAAAAGAGCCATCTTTTGCACCAAGATCGGGGAAAATCACCCCCTAAGAATCTTAGAAATGCTCAGAAAACCCGAATTCAATAAATTCAACCCGCCAACCTGAATTAGGTTTAACAATTCTTAAAAATGTGAATGCGCATATGTACGCATTTTTATGGGCATATATATGCATGGTTCAGAATTGGGGACCAATTCGAAGCTTGAAATGGACAAGAAACACCCAAAACATGGGGGGGTTGCTGGGTCTTCACGAAACGTTGTTGTTTTCCGATCCTTCCCCCGCAAGTCCCCTCCACATTCACTCTAAAAAAATTGTCAGGTGGGAACTTTGCTTTCAATAGGAGGAACCTGGAGGTGCAGAGAAAAAAGGGAAATAGAGGTTTGTGGATGGCGTTACAGAGAATAAGATTTTGTTTGTTTGGTTACCGTTAATAAACGAACATTTCCCTTGTCAACTAACACACCCAACTCACTAAGGGGCAGAGTGCCTATATTGTACACCAGGGTTTTAAAACTGAGTAAACCGGTTCTTCCATCCATAGAACCGGTTTGATATTAAATAGGTCTGATGCACATTAAAAGTTCATTATAGCATGCGGCCTTCCATCCATCTTGCCATCTTGCCTGGTCGAGAAAATCCGTTGTTTGATATTCCTTATTCTACACATTTAACATTTTCATACTCCGTACTACAATTGTTTATTAATAGTAATTAATGTTAACTATTCTTTGCTTTTGCTCATTACTACTATATTAAAAGACTAATTCATATTTTTGAAGTATTTATTTGATCTATGAATCATACTATTAATTTATATAAATATATTTAAAATTTTATTATATATTGTTAGGTTCCTAATAAGCCTGATGCTCATCGAAAGTGTTTTAATACTCATAATAGGTCTGATGCACATTAAAAGTTCATTAATACTCATTTAACAAAAATTGTGATTTTCATCTCAATAGATGAGGTTTGATGCTCAATGAATATGTTGTTATGTCAAACTAACAAACTTTGCGATTTTCAAATCAAACTACTTTGTAAGTTACGTATGTTCATCTGGTACTGATCTAATGTTCATTTCCTAAATGTCATATCCATGCATTTGCTTTAAAGTACTATTTTCATAGGAGTTGATTAGAAATATAATTTAATAAGTTTTTAAAAAGGAAAAATAACAAAAGAAAGTGAATTAGAAGTTATGAAGCAGAGATCACGATTCTGAATATTAAACTTCTAATACTCAACATAATAGATTTGATGCTCATTAGCAGTTCATTAATGTTCATTTACCAGAAACCGTGATTTTCATCTCAATAGCGGATATTTGATGCTCAATTAAAATTTCATGATATTCAATTAAAAAATCTTGCGATTTTCATATCAATGTGCACTTTGTAAGTTGAACATCATGACATTTTAATTGAGCATCAACCTCCACTATTGAGATGAAAATCACGACTTCTGGAGATTGAGTAATAATGAACTTTTAATGAACATCAGACCTATTATATTGAGTATTAGGAGTCTAATATAAAATACTCTTTAGTACTTTTAAAATGGATTGATATGACATTTATAAAATGAGCATATGATCAGTCTCATATGAGCATACGTATCAAACATCGTCTATTGAGATTGATGAAAATCATGAATTCTATTAAATGAGCATTAATGTATTGTTAATGAGCACCAGGCCTATACAAATGAGCATATGTAATTTACAAGATGAGCATTGATATGAAAATTGTAAGTTTTATTCGTTGAGCATCAAGACATTTTCAGTGAGCATTAAACCTCCGTAATTGAGTATAAGAATCTGCGATTGAGTATCAAGATTTGTGGTCTCGTGTCTATAATCAACTCGTATATAAATCTAATGTAATATGAGACTTTTGAAATGCGCATTGCTAAAACATTTTTAAAATGAGCATAACAGAGATACTAAATGAATATACATCATTTACAAAATGAGTATTCAAAAATTTAAAAGCTCATTTATGTATATTCATTTTTTTAGACGTTTTACTCATTTAAGTTTAAGGTAAAACTCAAATCTAATGTGCTCGGTATAATATATATAAATACTAAAAGAAGTACGGAGTAAACAACAAATAAAGAAAGGAAAAGAAGTAAAAAAAAAAAAAGACAAAACAAAAGAAAGTGGAATAAAAAAACATAACAAAAAGACAAAAGTAAAACATAACAATAAGAATGGATGGCTGCAGAAGAAAAGATGATGGCCCATGGGCGGATACACGTTGTGTTTAGGGGGCAGCTGCCCCCAACAAAAGGCCGCTTTTACATTGAGGTCTATTAGAAAAGGGAAATTCTAATCGCAGCTACGTATTTACTAAATACAGCCATGATTATTTGTTTATTCCAATTATATCTTTTAAAGAATAAATTAGCATTGTCCGTTAACATGGCTTCTACTGGCAAAGAGCAGGCTGCACTCTATCTCTCTACTTAGAAAAGTAAGCCGCCAGACAGGACCGGCAACGATGGCGAAGGCTGAGAGGTAGATGAGGTGCCTCAAGATTGGCAACGAGGGCTCACCTACGGGCTGCGGCTAACGACGACTCACCTTCTAGCCCTACCATCCCAAATCAGATTGCCACCCATCTGTGATCAATTGAGCTTCATCCCTCATGAGACTACAAATTAGGAGCAAATTACTATCTCAGAGTGGTCAACGATCGTAGCGATCCTCTCTGCTGTGACGAGGATTAGATTCGAGTGATTTGAAGTTACGTTCATAGATGTAAGGGTAACTTAGGCCTTTTACAATTTAGAGGACTGTGGATAGCAAATTGAGGGCTGTCAATAGAATCTCCCATTAGAAAATTAAGCTTCAGTCCAATTTTAATAACACAATTTGAATAGAATTAAATGAATCCAACGGAAGGCCCACAAAAAAGACCCACTTAAGAAAGACAGCCCATTTAATTAAAACAGCCTATTTTTTTCGGTGGCAGTTTTGTAATTTAAGCGAAAAATCATGGCTCCCGCTAAATGAGTGACGGATGGTCTACCCGGGGGGTGTCTTATCCGAGGGGTTATTACGGAATAACCTAGAGAGAAGTCAGAGCAAGCAAGTAGGAGAGAGAGGAGATTATTATTTATGAACTCGAGATGTTCTGGGATCGTTTACAAGGAGAGATAGGTTGCTATTTATAGTAGCAATAAATGCGATGAGAGTACACGTGTCAGTAATCCAACGGCCGAGGGGTCACATCAATCGGGTGGCACCGGGAGTGGCATGTTCACCGCATTGAATGCGGTTGGTGGATGCGACGTTGCATTAAATGCGGTGGTTGGCTGTCTTCAAAGAGAATCTTCGATGATTGAGCCTGTTTGGCCGAAGGCTCCTCGCGTAGCCGAAGGCTTCATGTGGCCGAAGGCTCTGTGCGGCCGAAGGCTTCTCTGATACCGAGGTCCCAATAGTGCCGAAGGCTCCTGTTTTCCGCCGTTTTCTCCCAGTAACTTTGTATGCCAAAAAAGTTCATGCTGTGAGTTCTGGAGCCTTCGGCCAAGATGGCCGAAGACACCCCAGTGTGTACTTCGGGCTTCTTTGAGGCTTGGGCCGTTGTAATTGGGCCTCAGATGCTCCCTGGGCTTAATGGGCCTGTGTAGGAGAAGTAGGAGTCTATGGGCCGGAGGTTCCTGAGCCATATACTCCATCAATGAGAAATAATGTAGTTTTGTTGAGTATCTCACATATTGTATTGAGTATTATAAAACTAACAATGAGTATCACAATCTCTGCTTCATATCTTCTAAATCTTTTTTCTGCTATAAAAACTTATTAAATTATACCTAAAATTCACTCCTGTTAATTTCAATGTGCGAGTCTAATGTAATATGATACTTTTGAAATATGCATTGATATGACACTTTAAAAATGAGCATAACATCAGTATCAAATGAGCATACATAACTTACAAAGTGCACATTGATATGAAAATCGTAAGGTTTGTTAGTTGAACATCATGACATTTTAATTGAGCATCAAACCTCCACTATTGAGATGAAAATCACAACTTCTGGAGAATGAGTAATAATGAACTTTTAATGAGCACCCGACCTATTCTATTGAGTATTAGGAGTCTAATGTTCAGAATCGCGATCTCTGCTTCATAACTTCTAATTCACTTTCTTTTTGTTAATTTTTATCGTAAGGTTTGTTAATTGAACATCACGACATTTTAATTGGGCATCAAACATCTGCTATTGAGATGAAAATCATAGTTTATTGTGGATGAGCAATAATGAACTTTTAATGAGCATCAAACCTGTTATATTGAGTATTAGGATTCTCATAAAATAATACTTTTAAAAATGCATTGATATGACATTTAGAAAATGAGCATAAGATCAGTATCAGATGAGCATATGTAACTTACAACATGAGTATTAATGAATTTGTTAGCTGCTTTGTTGGTTGAACATCACAACATTTTCATTCAGCATCAAAATTCCTCTATTGAGATTGATGAAAATCGTGATTTCTATTAAATGAGCATTAATGAACTATTAATGAGCATCAGACATATACAAATGAGCATGTGTAACTTACAAGATGAGCATTGATATGAAAATTGTAAATTTTATTCGTTGAGCAACGAGACATTTTTGAGTGAGCATTAAATCCCCGTTATTGAGTATTAGAATCTGCGATTGAGTATAATAATTTGTGGTCTCGTGTCTATAATCAACTCTTATATAAATCTAATGTAATATGAGACTTTTGAAATGTGCATTGCTAAAACATTTTAAAAATGAGCATAACAGAGATACTAAATGAACATACATAATTTACAAAATGAGTATTCAAAAATTCATTTGTGTATGTTCATTTTTTAAGCGTTTTACTCATTTGAGTTTAAGGTAAAACTCATTTCTAATGTGCTTAATATAATTTATAAAGAAAAAGAAAGAAGTAAACAATCAATAAAGAAACGAAAAGAAGAAAAAAAGACAAATCAAAAGAAGCAAAAAGAAAGAAGTATACAATCAATAAAGAAACGAAAAGAAGAAGAAGAAGAAGACAAAGCAAAAGAAGTAAACAATCAATAAATTAAAACCAGATACAGAGTAGCTAGAAGTAAAAGTAAATAAAAAAAAATGAAAATAGAAAAGACAACTAAAAGGTACGGAGTAACAATCAGGAATGGATGACTGAAGAAAGAAAGAAAAGACGGGTACAGCCGGGTGTACCATATATTTTACCCTAAGAGGAAAGGGCATCTTGTTTGTTTTTATGTTCTCGTATACTACACGGAGACAAGGATATTTTATCACGGAGCACTACCAAATAAGTCCTCGAGCTTACATAAAAAGTGCAAATCATATGGTGCTGTTTTTTTATGAAGTTTGATGAAATTTTTTGAGCATTTTATTCATTAAGTA